TAGGATATGAAGAAAAACAATGCTGAATATATTAAGTATATTTATACCCTGAAGGTTATATAAGATATGAATCTCTTTTGGCAATTCATGAATAAACAGCACTGCACAAGATAGCATGCTTTGTTCATTGTTTAAAGGGTTTAACTCCAGCTTCTTTTTTATTTAAAAAAATACAGTTACATATTTCACAGGAATAACAGCATTTTGTTGAGGTTGGGAAAATCCAAAGATACAAATAAAAAGAAATAAATCTGGTATTTTTATTTAAATTAAACATGAGTTTTTTAAATGAACACACTTAAAATCATGTAAATTAAATACTAAAAAATAATATTAAACAGGACACGTATTCTGCCAATAATTAAAGAAGGTTGAACTACTGAACTGCTAGAAGTTACTGGATAGGCATTTATTCAAGTACAGCCTAAACTAGCTTTTGACAGCAGTAGCTTCTTCATTTTAGTTTATTCAACTAGCTAGGTACCATGGCTAGTTCGTTCAAAGTTAAGAAAACAACTGGAACTTGAGGGGGGAAAAAAAAAGCAGGAAAGCTTGTTTTCCTCTTCAAATCTAGGAATAAAAATTAGATGTCAAGAGGTTGAGATCTTTTACTTCTAAAATCTTGAAGGGCAAAGTGACCAGAATCAATCTGATTCATTAACTACAGACAAAACATAATTAAATGTGTTTTAAATGCAAAACATGTTTTGATAAACTTTTGATACGGAAAAAAGTGTGCGCCCATCACTCAAAGGAGTCCTACATAATACAAAATAAAATGCTGATGTTGTAAATTTAATTGCATTCAAACCATGCTTGACAAATGACAAATAAAAAATGAATCTAGTAAATAAGAAATGCATTATTCACCATATGAAGAAATATAAGTTAAGCTATATAATTGCTTAAATAAATAGGAACAGTGTATCCTGATCAGCAAAACACATAGCAAGTTTAAATTAGTTTTGCAAATCAACATATTTAGAAGTTATCAAATAATCAAAATCAACCTTTAAGAAAATAAAAAGTACAAATGCAAAATACAATTAAGACCAATGATTAAAGTCAGCAAGGAGGAAATTATTTACATCACGATAAAAAATTGTGATTTAAATTGCTTTGATTTAACACATTTTGCTTTAATACATTAAACAATATAGGAAAAAAATAATAATGGATCCTGGGAAAAATACAAAATAAAGTTACTTTAAAAAAAATGTGAAACTAAAATGCAAAAGCTTCTCACTGAGAAGGGATGTAGAATTAAATTAAAACCTAACCTTATTTTCCAGTAAGTGCAAAAGTAAACTACAACACCCACTAGTTTTCTTCACTAATAAAAGTAGGAGAGAAGAAGAGATTCAAACCAGGTATCTTTGGCTACCAACTAATTATTTTTATGTGATTTCACTAATGGCAGATGCAACCATAAAAAACTTAGCTTATACTGTAAAACTTAAATGCTACCCTACCCTGGAGGGAAATTAGTATATAAAGTCATTTCTCCTGAGGGGCACGGATGAGCTAGTCATGAAACTGAGCTATTCTATGGCACATATAAAACTTAGGATTTAATATTTTGTGTTATTTGGGTGAGTATTAAAACACTACATTGAAAACAGACACTTGAGGAGGGTCTAAATAATTATCTATTACATACAAAAAAAATAAAAACAAATAAAAGAACATAAAGGTTGCAAATCAAGCACTCAAAAAATTAGTAAGTGCCAGAAAAGTAGTTCCCTATGCAAACTGAGTTCAGCCTCTTACATATATGAATTACTAGAAGCTTTACCCGGCACTGTCCAGGTCCTTCAGGGCAGGGGGCTGGAGGCAGGGGTGAGTGCAAGAGTCAGGAGGCTCAGGGCAGGGGGTTCCCATCCAATGGGACTTGCTCTCCCCAGACCTCCTCAGCCACAAGGGGCCTTCTGTGTCCCTGGCCTCGATGCTGCAGCCAACGGCTGGGCATGGGGGAGGTTTGGGGCGAGGGGGTTACTTTGGCAGGCAAGATGGCAGAGCCCAAGTCCTGATGGTCATTCTCTTGATGGTGTGGCTGCCCCCAGGACTCTCTGCACAGTATAGATCTCCCTGGCAGGCTCGCTGCACCCAGTGGCCACTCTCAGTAATGCATCCTTCCTCTCTCGTTATGGAAAACAATCCCATTTGTAGCACTTCCCATTTTCTGGGCACAACCAAAGCCTGACCTGGATTTAAGTTAGGATCAGAGAAAGAGGCACCCCAAATTTGGTGGGCCTAGCTCTTATAGTTTAGGAGGACTTCTTGAACAAACCGACTCTCAGATGGACAGACAGAAACGCATTTCTAAAAATACATGAGATGACATTCTGGGCCAGAATCATATAGGCAGTATGAGGCAGAGCCAATGAGTCTTCAACTTTTCCCAGTCTCGTGCCTTAAATACAAAAGAATGTCTGTTCTCCCTTTGCTTACCCTCTGCTTCATTCACTGTCCATCGTGTGCACTGAATGATGCAAGGGTCCAGTGGAACATGTGATGATGAAACAAGAGACTGTAACATACTGCGAATGTACAAAGAGGCTGAACTACCCTTGCAGAGGAGAATGATGCAAGGGTCTGGTGGAACATGTGATGATGGAACAAGAGACTAACATACTGCGAATGTACAAAGAGGCTGAACTACCCTTGCAGAGGCAACCTGAATTAGGGCATTTCCTAAAGCTTTATTTTGCAGCCTTACTGTTCCTTTAACTTCACTTTTTGTACATAATTACTAAGGAATTGGTTGATCAAGAATAACTAGCCAGAACTGAGCTTTATAACAATTGGACTTATGAGAATTT